GCGACGTTGTATCCAAAACTAAGACAAAATGAACCCAAGTTTTTTAATTCTTTTAAAATATCTATAAAATCATTTGACAATGGTTGGTCTCTTTTAGATTTCATCAATAAATAGATCAGTATCGAAATGATCGTTCTCCATTTCGGTCAACGTAAGTCCACTTTACCCGAAAACGCGCGATCGAATGTACAGTAACATGGCAGCACATATATCTCAAAGCGCTCGGCTGACGCCCGCAAAACGCGCGTTTTAACAAAAATCTATCAACGCGTGTTTGGCCAAAAGCGCGCGTTTGAGTGTGTATGCCTATGTAGAACTCTTGGTTCTTTAAAATGCACGTTTAAAAACGCCTAGTGTGTACACAGCCTTACTGACTACCTAGTTACGTATAAATACAGACGATAACTTAACAACACTGAGCGGCAGTTGCGATTTTGAGTCCCACTCGGGCGGAGTATTTTTTTCCATAAAAATCTAGTCCGATAGTTTGATAATTCGGCAGATCGTCTGGCTTTAAAACTATTTTTGATTGGTCCCACATCTTCCTAATTTTTAAGCAGGTAGAAATGACCAAAAAAGTGAGAAAAGTGAGAAAATCACCTGAAAAGTGAGAAAAGTGAGGGTACTTCAGAAAAGTGAGTACAAGTGAGAAAAGTGAGCGACTCCGAGGCCTGACCTTGTCACTGTGCTCAATTGGTCTCAAAATGGTTTGAGGAATGTCAGTCATAGTTTAACCTGCTTCCGTGGCCAGCTCAGTCCCCTGACCTCAACCCTAGGAAGCATTTGTGCGATGAAGTCAAAAGATCACTTCAAAGCTTGGAAATGCCACCATCCAATCTGACCCAACTTAGAGCTGCCATTATGTTAGCATGGGCCAACATCCCTCAGCAACAGTATCAGCAACTTGTTAAGTCCATACCAAGAAGAATATCGACTGTGATCAGAGCTAAAAGTGGACCAACTCATTACTAGAGGATCTCTCTAATTTTTTGTCCACTCAGTATATATTAAGTCAATTAAGAATGCATGTAATTTACAAGTACTTAATTAAAATTAATGATTATAATTACCCTTCTTCATAGTCCATAACACTTGGATCAATCATTCCTGCTGGGATGGATGGACGAGTCTGACGAAGCAAGGCAACATATGCATGGAATATGTCAACTTTCACATTTTCCTCTCTCTCTATAAAAAATTTTCATATTTCCATTAGTAGCATTCATAAGTAATAGCATTAATGCTTTATTATTAATTGTAATGTTGTAATTATTATTATTACTATTATCATCATAATCATCTTTTAAACACTTTAGTTTCAAGTTAAACTATAACCATATATATCTGAATCCCTATATTCTGTATTTCATTGAAAATATCAATGATATCTCCCTGATACATTTTTTTCATTTAGAACACAATGTAATATTTTATATAAAGTTTTTCTTTGAGCAAAAACCTAATATAGTATTAACTTCTGAATTATATCACAAATTTTTATGATATTTATGTGATTTTCTTGAAATCTTAATTCATACATTTAGAAATATACACATGCAAAAATGATCTAAATATTTAAACTATAGGATACTACATTTCTGTAAGCTAGGAATATTGTATATTATCTAATAATTGATTATTATCTAAATCTTTTCATTAAATGTATTGATTGTTTTCAATAGGTTTAATGAAAAAAAATTATTAAACTTTTTTGTATGTAAATAGTTTGATGAAATTAATTTTTCATATACCTTTAAACCTAGAAATTAGAGCTGGAGAAATTGTCTTGTAAAATTCCATTAACATTTCATGTCTTGTTGCTACGATAGCTTCTAAGCATTTGGCTGATGCTCTCCGAACTTTCCAACTCATGTCATCATCATCACTATATTCATCTTCACTGTCCCCTTCTTCATCTTCTCCTCCATCCATATCCATACTATCATCTGCTTCATCATCATAATTATAGTTAGGATCATAACAAAGATATTCAAGACAAATTTTTACTATTGTAGTAACTTGAGGAGATATTTCTTTAGGACATCGTCTAACAAAAGATTCAAATGCTTGAATACAATATTCCCTCAATTCATCATCTTCCACTTTACAATAGCCAACAACTAAAGGCATCACTCTTTCTAAATGTTCTCCAAATCGATGTCCTGCTTGTCGACTGAAATAAGTAATTGATTTAGAACATCCAAAAGTAATAAAATTTCATTTGCATTAAAATTTTAAGACATTTCTATAAATATCATCTTAAAATAATAATTCTCTAAATTTATCATGTTAAGTGTCACAAACTTCAATCATTAATAAGTTTTAAAATAAATTTTAAAAATTATATTTTTAATAGTTCTTATTGTAAAATTATTTTTTTAATACTTTATTTCAAAAATATAGAAAATTGTGTGTGTGTGTGTCTACACATACACAATTTTGATTAATAAATGATTATTTTAATTTTTTCGTTGAATATATTAAATCCTAATTTTTAAATGCTTGGCAATAATATTTAAGAGACAACAATCATGCAATGTGGCAGTTAAGTAAAATGTACCTTCTTCATTATGTACTGTACAAGTTAAAGTCATGAAAAACGTAAGATTAAATTTTATTGTAAATCTCATAAAATTTTATATCATTTTAGTAAATGTCTGCACATGCACTCAAACATGGTAGATTCTTAATAAGTCAAACTCCTTGACTCAAATTTTATTTTTGTTATGGCAACTCTCATACACTCAATGCATTCTGTTTCTGTAAATTGAAGTAGTTTGAGAATACATTTCACTAATTCAAAACATGGAATGTCCCTATACAATATACAGAAAATAGAAAAGATGGATGATGTAAAAGCTATTTTCTAACTATTTAAAAAAGTTAATCCTTGATGCTTATCAAAAACAAGAACAGTATGTTTTATTAATAATTCTGGTGCAAATTCAATGACTCCCTCTGTGAAAGCTCTAACAATTCAATTTTTACTGCCAAATACAATTTCCAGATTGTAACCTTTAATCACAAACACTCAAAACCTTAAATTACAATACAAAAACCTTATCATACAAAAGATGCTGCATGTTACTAAAGAAGAATCATATGTATTTGGAGTATACTTGCTAAATGCAATGTAAGTGATTAAGAAAGTTTAGAATGAAATTCCACAAAGCACCATTGTAAAATTACTTTAAAAAAGCAGGTTTCATTTAACAATTTGTTGATACTTCAAATAAATTGAAATTTTCATCAGAATCTGTTGACAATATTAAAGGTGGCTGGGCTGATCTCATTACAGTGATGAGTGATAAAAAAGTATAGTCAACACTGACTTATCCATATCATTGATGAAGTAGGAAATCAAATGCAAGAAACAAGCAATGAAGATGCAGAATAAATAAATTCTGTCAAAGACAAATCCTGCTCCTCTAAATCTAAGGAAGCCAGAAAAACTCAACCTAATTAGACTTTTTAGAAACTATATCATTCTTACATCAAGATGCTTTCAAGGTGGATGACCACATTGAAAACACTGTTGAGCTAAAAACAATGAATTGTTAATGACAAACTCAGTAGACTTTTTCACCAATAATGAAAATTTTTCCTTATTTTGTACAAGTACATGCATGCACACACATCAGAAATTTCTCTCTATTCCTTCTATTCTGAGTTATTGAGTACCTACTGTATATAATTTAAAGAGAGAGTAAATATGATATCTTTTTGAATAACATATTCAAAAATATTTCATATAGATAAACAGAAAATTAATACAAAAATAATTTAAAACTTATACAGAGATAGCAAAGAAATAATAGCACAAAACTATTTTTATATTTACCTAATAGCACCAATACATTGAATATATGTTCGTGTAGTTGATGTGGAGTCATCTTTATCCATTTCTTCTAAAAGTTTATCAATCAATTTATTAAAGAGTACTTGACTACAACTCATCACTAAATAGCCTATAATTAAAAAATAATAATATTATAGTATTATGTAAAAATAATTAAGCAATTACAGTCATTATAAAATTATTATAACTCATTCATGTTTTATTTTATCTATCTTACGATCAACAATTATTAGAATTTTAAGAAGTAATTTAATATTGTCATTCATTTTTTGCAAAATTATTTTATTGTGATATTCTTATATTTTATAAAAAAAATTTATAAATATCTCAATAATAAACTTTTCAAACATGTCAGGCATTTCATGTTAAAAACATAATTGAAATATTAACATATACAAATGCTCCCCTACTTATTCAAGGATTATGCTCCTGATATTTTGTTATAAGTTAAAAACTAATCTAGAAACTACATTTGTACACAGAATAACCATGTATTGTTAGTGATTAATCCTTAGATGTATTTAATGGAATACATTATGCTTGTTTACCTGCTTGTTACTGCTTAGTAGCAAATGCAGGTTTTTTCCACCTAATACACTTAGTTTTATAATGTCAAGTTTAGTTTCCATAGTAACAGAGCCACACTTCTTGCTTTTATCTCCATTGCTAGATTTACTATTATGTTTTGAATGCATTTTTGAAGCACCAATTGCAAAAGTTTATAAAAATTGAAAACAACAGGAAAAAATGCCATTACTCCATGTTACCAACTTTGATGCCACCTCATGAGTGATGATAAAATGTCAGAATTTGCATGAAAACAAAAAATGATGATATGCAATAGAAATAAATCCACATTAATTATTGGCTAAAGATTGACTTCATCCACTTACTGGCTAAAGACTGATTTCAACACCATCTCATAACCAGCAAGACAATTTCAGAATTTGCAAAAAATTTAAATTTTAGATGTACAGTCAAATTGTTCATAAGTCTGAAAGTTTGTAAGTTGAACATTCATAAATTGGAATTTCTTATATATAACAGCATCAAAGGAGATTTAAAAATTACTTCATAATGAAAAAAATTATTTAATTAACAATACTTAAATTTTTGCTATTGCCATTCATATGAATTGCAAATTGACATACCAAAAAATTGCAATTAATAAAATTCTAATTTAAAACATGTAAAATAATAAATAATGAAAAGTAACTGACATAACAAAAATCATTAATATATATAAATATAAAAGATTATTCAAGATTAAAAATAAATATTTTTGAATAAATGCATTCAATATTAGAAAACATTAACATAACATATAATATAAAAAAATTATTTTAGTGAAGAAGTCTAACAAAAAAACTGATACAAAAAAAAGTGATAAGTTTTACTATTCTAAGGAAAGAATGGAAAATATTGAAATTTAATAAATCAAGTCCTAATTAAATATATTGAACATTCCAATATTTAATATAATATACTGATTATTCTTATTATCAAGTTTTTAATTGATTAAAATATTTTTTAAAATTAATTACAGATAACACCTGATATATGCAGTTAATTGGTTCCACAAATATGCACGGATATTCTGTTAACCTGCATTATTAGGACCAATGTGGTGCAGAATTATCAAATATGCTTCCTTATTGGATGATGAAATTTTTTTCCTGTTTTTTTTCAATTCCCTGGACACAATTTTACATATCTTTGCATGTAAAACTGTATAAATCTGCTTTTTATAATTGTTCAACATGTCATTTCAATTTTTTCAGGCTATTCTTACCCTTCACTGACTTGAAACAAGAACATCCTATTCTTACTTTGTAGTTTGTACATTTTTATTGCATATATATACAGACAAACTCTAATTATCAAAGTACATGAACAGTAATGTACTGTAGCTATTTTTATGATAATTATTGATTCCAAGTGTGGTAAATATTTTTGCTTTTCATATCAAACCTGTGCAATGTCTTTAGAAAAACCATGCATGAGATAATTGGTTTTAATGTAGCACAGTATTATGTCATCTTAATATTTGCCATCTCTAAAAGGAGAACCCATACCCCTCTCCAAGAAGTGCTTTTACATGAAAATCTTAACTCTAGACTTAACCCAGTGCACCAATAACCACCCAACAATGAGCTTGGGATGTTGGCTTATCAGGATTGCTGGCATTTAAGATGCTGTGTTAATGGAATTTCATTGCACAGCTTATATGAAAGTTAACACTCAATTTGAAATAAATAATTTGTGAATTAGGTCATTAAGAATGCATCTAAAATCATAATTTTTTACATTTATATTTGCTTAAGTAGAGAAAAAACATAAAAAATAAAAAAATCAAGTTAAAAAAGCATCATTTATTGACAAATTATTAGTTAATTAAAAATTTTAGACAGGGTAATGTGTAGTGTAAACATAATCATGCTGAATAAAGATTGACTAGAGAGTTTAGACTAACTATTAAGAAAAAAAAAGTAAAAGTAATTTTTAAAGTCAAGCAAAATATTTATCATTTGTTGTCTGCCTTTTTTTTTCATAGTTTTCTATAAAAGCTGAAGAATTAAAACAAATGTTTGCAGAAATTACACTAAATGATAAAATAGAAATTAAAATTTCTGAATACTAAAACCTAAAACAATAAGATTCACATTTTTACTAACAGTAAGCAGGAGTGAAGAGAAGGAATCAGTTTATGTTAGCTATGAGCACCATCAAGCTGGTAACAATGAACTTTTCTCAGAACAGGCCCACATCAAAATTGCATATATTAAGGATTACCTGTATTGTTGTACATGTGGATGCATATTCACTTGCAATGTAATTTTCAAAAATTTCCTTGTTGTTGTTATTTATTTTTAATGAAATAAAAAAAAATTGTAATTTGTCAAAAATACTTTAGAAATAAAACTTGAATACTAATAAGTTTACATCAGTCTAAAATCTACTGAAATTATCATTATAATGAATCATTAATAGTAAAAATCAATTTGAAAAACGTTTCCAATAAACAAGTTTAATAATTAATAATGATCAATTTATATGTCAAAAGAGTTATTAATAGCAATATGTAATCAAATTAAAACATTTTAATCAATCAATAAAAACAACATATCAAAGCAAGCAATAAAATAATCAAATATATTTGCTATATTTGATTATTTTATTGCTTGCTTTAATATGTTGTTTTTAATATGTATTATACAAAATCTAAAATGCCTACAAATGTTCAGAGATACTAAAATCTGAACCTGAAAAAAGTGCACTTTGAGTAAATATACTATATTTACTCAAATGTAAAGTGCACTTTTTTCAGATTTTACTATCTCTGAACATTTATAGGAATTTTAGATTTTGTATAATACACAATAACTGGCAATCTGTAATGCCATGTGTGATATTTTTTGTCACTAATTCTATCACATTATTTTAATGATTTTATTAGAGCAATATTCATAATAGCAAATATTTAGGAAATCAACTTAGCTCAATCTTTTTTTTTTTCTTTAAACTCTTTCTCCCCTTTGGGCACTAAGAAAGCCTCTTTCAGCAAGCCCATTATGGGTTCAGCAAGCCAGGTAGTAAGGGATGGGGGTCCTGACATATCTTGACGGACCATCCCCTGAAAATTCCTGGGGACTTTTCGATCCATCTGAATTTGATCCAGGGTCCCCAGAGTGGTAAACTGCCTTCTTGACAGCTTGGCCATCTGGCTGTCTGCTCAATCTCATTAGTCTATTACAGTAACATTGTTAAGTATATTGATGAAAATCTTATAAAAATGTTGAGCAGCACTCTTTCAAAAAATATTGCATTTCCAATTCTTTAAATGGCACTAAGAATGATTCTATGTGGAAAGTTTTGAGCATCAAATTCAGTGTTGATATAGAAGATCCTAACACAAAGTGAAGATAATACATCTACAACAGCCTAAATGATTGGGCTATATTTTGGATAAATAATATACGATCATTTAAGGCTGTTGTAGATGTATTAGCTTAAGGTATCAGGTTTCAAAGGTCGTGTATATTTACGAAGTGAAGAAGTTTCTGACTTTCATATTATTTAAGACAATCATATATAATTTACTTTACTGTGAAATAAATTTATCTCAAATTGGTATTTAAAGAAAATAAAAAAAAAATTCATAAGCACTCATGTAGAAATTAAGGTCTTAGATTTGATAGCATCTTATATTAAGTAAATATAGTGTATATATATATATATATAAAACATACCAAACTAATAAGAAGCATTCTGCAATTAATATAAACTTTTCAATAAAATTTCAAAATTTTAATAAATAAGAAATATTTAACTAGTGTTTGTATAATTTTGTTTTCTGTGATAGTTATACCAACCTATAGCAGTTATGGAGCGTTTTCGTACAGCCAATCTTGGACTAGCTAACTGAGGCAACAAGGCATCCTTAATAAGAGGATGAAAATTGACTAATAACCCTGTAATAAAATTAAAACATTTAGCATTATATTTTAGGAGTATTAAATATTAATTTTGAATTCATAAAAAAAATTAACTGACTAAATAATGCAATAAATAATAATACTTTTTAAATATTTATAAAACATTAAAATTAAACTTAGATTTCCAGAAAAATGTTTCAAAAATTTACCTCCAAATCTACAAAGAAGGTCACCAAGAATATCAAGAGCTTCTAACTGTACAGAAACATCTTCTTGCTGTAACATATGATTATAATATATAATTTTCTTTCTTATGTCACAAAGAATAAAAAGCACATATTAAAATAATAATATTATGCACAACTAAAAATAAGGAGAGCCTATTTGTGTGATTTAGAACATATTAAATATAATAAATTATCAAGAGAAATTTAAAATTCATTAGCATTTTGTGAAATCCGCAATTTTTACATAGTTGTCAGAAAAGAATTTTTAAACAACTCCAATTAAAAAAACCCGCTCATGGTGAGAGTTAGATTGGAGGTCACCGTTTGTTTTTACAAGTAGGTGGGAAAGTTGACAATTAGGTGGTGGAATGCACCGTCATCGTCAACAAAAGTCAATCACGTGTTAGATTTCCCACAACAATGACATAAAAGCTCGAGCCCCCGGAAGCTCAGGGCGATCCAAAGGAAATTATACTTGTTAATGTGTGCATTGTGTCTCCATACACTGGACACAATGACCGAAAGGAGAAGACATCGACATACAACAGACCACAACTTCGAACTTCCATACTTATCGCCATACTACAGTTCCTGCGCCGACTCTGATTTCTACGACCCATTCAACGCATACCATTCATTTCCTCATAGAGGTATTTTTATTTAGAGCTTTGAGAACTCTCTCTCTCACAATAGCCGTTAGAGCGGTTAATAGCGGCCTTTTGTAAAGTTAATTCATATTTAACCACATTTTACCTCTATATTATTATCACTTTTGTAATTAGGATTAGTTATTCAATAAATGCTTTGTTATTTTGTTAAACTTGTCGCCTGTCATTGAAAGGATGCCTGCTGGCTTACCGATGCATGCTCCACTCACTTTTTTTTCCTCCTAGCCATCCAGGGCCCTTAGTCTCGAGTTTTTCGTGTTGTACTCGAACTGACGTCATCGAACTCACTCGTGTTACTATGACTCACATAATCGGTAGTCTCGAGTTAGACCCTTCGAGTGAACTCGAAAGGTGAGCGGAAGTAGGCCATATTCACTTGTTTACGTTTGTCGATAAGCATGATGGGAT